TGAAGCTGTTTTATTTATTTATTTATTTTTTTGTTTTGGGGGACAAGATCTCACTCTGTCACCCAGGCTGGAGGGCAGTGGTGCAATCACAGCTCACTGCAGCCTCAACTCCTGAACTCAAGCAATCCTCCTGCCTCAGCCTCCAGAATAGCTGGGACTACAGGCCCAAGCCATCTGGCCTGGCTTTTTTTTTTAATTTTTTTGTAGAGATGGGGTCTTGCTATGTTGCCCAGGCTGGTCTTGAACTCCTGGGCTCAAGTGATTCTCCAGCCTTGGCCTCCCAAAATGCTAGGATTACAGGTGTGATCCACCACGCCTGTCATTTACTTTTTTCATTTTTTAAAAAAAGTTTATTTTTATTTTATAAAGACGCGATCTCACTACATTGCCCAGGTTGGACTTGAACTCCTGGGCCCAAGTGAGCTTCCTGCCTTGGCCTTCCAGAGTGCTCAGATCACAGGCATGAGCCTCCTTGCCCAGCCCACACACAGATTTTTGACCACTTCTCCCCTCCTCCCCCCCAACCCACACTCTAGTCCAGCCACCATGGTTTCACCTGAACCAGGACAGTGGCGTCCCCATTGGGCTCCATGCTTCCACCATCGCCCCCTGCAGTCCATTCTCCACATAGCAGTCAGAGGGTCTTGAGGTCTGAATCAGCTCACACCCTCCTCAGCTCAGAAGCCACCCATGACTCCCACCTCATTTAAAGTGCACATCGTGGCCAGGCACGGTGGCTCACACCTTAAGTCCCAGCACACTGGGAGGCCAAGGTGGGTGGATCACTTGAGGTCAGGAATTCGAGACCACCCTGGGCAACATGGCAAAACCCCATCTCTACTAGAAATACAATTAGCTGGGCATGGTGGCACATGCCTGTAGTCCCAGCTACTTGGGAGGCTGAGGCAGAAGTATATATTGCTTGAACCCGGGAGGCGGAGGTTGCAGTGAGCAGAGATCACTCCGAGGAGGGTGAGCAGAGGAGGGTGGATCACCTGAAGTCAGGAGCTGCGGACCAGCCTCGCCAACATGGTGAAACCCCATCTCTACTAAAAATACAAGGGGGAAAGCAGGGTAAGGGTGATGGGGATGCTGGAGGGGCTGGTTACTGGGCAGAAGGGGGCTGAGGGGACAGCCAGTGCAAAAGCCTTGAAGGTGGTGTGCTTGGTTTGTTCAACGAACAGCACAGGCCAGAGTGGCTGAAGCAAGAGGGAGTGGGGAGAGCAAGAGCAGGAGGTGAGGCGAGAGAGGACAGGCAGATAGATCAGGGCCTCATGGGCCACAGTGCGCAATTTTTTTTTTCTGAGACAGTCTTGCTCTTTTGCCCAGGCTGGAGTGCAGTGGTGCAGTCACGGCTCCCTGCAACCTTGACTCAAACTATCCTCTCGCCTCACCCTCCCAAGCAGCTGGGACTACAGGCACGCCCCACCATGCCAGGCTAATTTTGTATTTTTTGTAGAGACGGGATCTTACTATGTTGCCCAGGCTGGTCTCAAACTGATGACCTCAAGCGATCCTCCTACTTTGGCCTCCCAAAGTGCTGGGGTTATAGGCACGAGCCATCGTGCCTGGCCAAGAGCCAGAATTTTTGCCTGTTGTATTCACCACTGTGTATTCAGTGTTTAAAATAAGCCTTGGCACACAGCAGATGCTCAAAAAATACTTGCGGGTTTTAGGGAGGGTTGTTTTATTTCTTTTTAGTTTTTAGAGACAGGGTCTTGCTGTTTCCAGGCTGGAGTGCAGTAGCGCGTTCAGTAGTTGGGACTGCAAGCGAGCACCACCACGCCCGGCTAATTTTTAGTTTTTTGTCAAGACGAAGTCTTGCTGTGTTACACAGGCTGGTGTCTAACTTCTGGCCTCAAGTGACCCTCCAGCTTTGGCCTCCCAAAGTGCTGGGATTACAGGCAAGAGCACTGTGCCCGAACTAAAAAAATATTTGTTAAAACAAAGATTAAACAATAGAGACCAAAAGAGAAACAGGAGGAGAAAAAGGAGAAGAGGGAAAGGGGAGGAGATAGAGGATGCTGAGACTAGGAAACTGGGAAGCCGCAGGGTACGGGGGCCGGGGGGGAGCGAGGTGGGAGAACATGTTGGGGTGAGATGGGTGGAGGAGAGAAGAAAGAAAATGAGCTGGGGCTGGGCGTGGTGGCTCACGCCTGTAATCCCAGCACTTTGGGAGGCCAAGGCGGGTGGATCACGAGGTCAAGAGATCGAGACCATCCTGGTCAACATGGTGAAACCCCGTCTCTACTAAAAATACAAAAAACATTAGCTGGGCATGGTGGTGCGTGCCTGTAATCCCAGCTACTCAGGGGGCTGAGGCAGGAGAATTGCCTGAACCCAGGAGGCGGAGGTTGCGGTGAGCCGAGATCGCGCCATTGCACTCCAGCCTGGGTAACATGAGTGAAACTCCGTCTAAAAAAAAAAAAAAAAAAAAGAAAGAAAATGAGCTGGGGCTGGGCGCGGTGGCTCACACCTGTAATCCCAGCACTTTGGGAGGCCAAGGCGGGAGGATCACCTGAGGTCAGGAGTTCAAGACCAGCCTGGCCAACATGGTAAAACCCCCTCTCTACTAAAAATACAAAAATTTGTCGGGTATGGTGGTGGGCGCATGTAGACCCAGCTACTCAGGAAGCTGAGGCAGGAGAATCTCTTGAACCCGGGAGGCGGAGGTTGCAGCGAGCCAAGATCGTGCCACTGCACTTCAGCCTGGGCAACAGAGTGAGACTCCGTAAAAAAAAAAAAAAAAACCAAAAGAAGAAAAAGAGAATGAGCTGAGAACAGAGAGCAATAGGGAGGAGACCAAATGAGTCAGGGAGATACAGAGCAGGAGAGAGAACAACACCGAGTGACACCGGAGAGACACACAGGATGCACAAAGATTGAGACGCAGAGAGTCAAACACAGAAAGAGAAAAGAGACAGGAGACGCAGAAACGAGGAAACAAACGATGAGGAAAAAAATGGGGCTGGGAGAAGAGAGATGGAAAGCAAAGAGCAGGGCAACTGGGAACTGAGATGGAGAGGCCCCTCCCTCAAACTCACCATCTGCTGGTGCCAGGGCTTTGGGCTGACTTGCTATCCCCAGAGGATCCCAGCTGGGGCTTTTGAAGCCCTGAGGGACAGAGGTGGTGGAGACAGAGAACATGTGACATCGTTCTCAGGGCTTGAGATCACCAGCTTATTTATTCTTCAGAGCAAGTCTATGAAATAAGTACAATTAGCATCTTCATTCTACAGAACCACGGAGGCAGGGCCAGCTTCAGTGGCTCACACCTATAATCCAGTGCTTTGGGAAGCCAAGGCAGGAAGATCACTTAAGTCCAGGAGTTCAAGATCAGCCTGGCTAACATAGTGAGACCCCATTTCTACTAAATGAAAAAAAAAAAAAGTTTAAAAATTTTAAATAAATTTTAAGGCTGGGCACAGTGGCTCACATCTGCAATCCCAGCACTTTGAGAGGTCAAGGTGAGCATCTGAGGTCAGGAGTTAGAGACCAGCCTGGCTAACACGGTAAAACCCCATCTCTACTAAAAATACAAAAATTAGTCGGGCACGGTGGTGGGTGCCTGTAATCCCAGCTATTCAGGAGGCTGAGGCAGGAGAATCACTTGAACTCGGGAGGCGTAGGTTGCAGTGAGCCAAGATCACACCACTGCACTCCAGCTAAGTGAAAAAGAAAAACTCCGTCTCAAAAAATATATATAAACAAGCTTTTTAAAAAAAGAAACAGAGAAACTGAGTGACCTGCCAAAGCCACACAAGTAATGAGAAGAGCTGGAGTTTGAACCCGGGCAGTCCGGCCCGTCAGTGCCCGTGACTTCACCTACGCTGCCTGTCGAGAAGTGCTGGCTTCCTGGATTCCCGTTGTGTCCACAGCCACCCTCTGGGGAGAGGTGGTGGGTAAAGGGGGAGGTGACCAAGGTAGCTGACCTTCATAACTACATCCACAGATGTCCCTGAGCCACAGTGTGGGAGAATAGGCTCAGTTTCCTTCTACTGGGAAGGCCTCCAGCTCAAGGGGGGAGGCTGAAAGGAGCCAGCTTCCTGCATGTCCGATCCGAAGTGCTGCCCAGAGCCAGGCCTCAGTCTTCCAGGAGGGAACATGGACTCGCTCCCCTCAGACTACTTCCCCAGCAGCTAGACCTCAGTTTCCTGGCCTTGATTTCCTAGCAGCGCGGCAGGCCAGAGAGGCCACACCAGTCTTCCAAGGCAGCACAGCGCTTTGGTCATTTGTTCTGAGATTTCCAGACAGGCTGAGAAGCAGCCCCCCACCCCCACCACCGCCATGCACTCTCATCTCTCTGACCCCAGAAAGAGAGCCAGCAACGCTCCCCTCGGCAGCCAACTGAGATCCCCGTGTGATTTAGCCTCTGTCCCTGACGTGATAATTACACTAACAGCAATTCCCAGAACCCCAGCTATTATCCTAAATCATTCCACCCCTCCTGTCTCCTGTACTGTAACAGAGAACACTCTGCTTTTCTCCAGAGACATTTGTTCTCTGCTCCAAGCACACAAAAAAACTGGGAAGCCCTTCCCACTGTCTGACCTTCAAAGGTCCTGCTGCTGCTAAGCTTCTCCCTACTCCAACCAAGAACAGAAGGACACCTTAAGGAAGGGGAACAGCCCAGCCGGGACAAGACAGACAAACGCCATACCCCAGGAAGGTGTTCCCACACAAACTTGGTGGGGGGGGCATCTCCACAGACAACAGGACAGACACAGCACGAGGCAGCCGGGACTGTGGTTTATTGCAGATGGACACGGATTCAGGGAGGTGAGGAGGCAGATGGGCTGTGGGTTCTGTGCTCAGCATCCCACAGTGGGAGGGGCAGGTGACAAAGGTCAGGATGGGGTCTTCCTGATGGTGGAGGATCCAGCCTGACCACAGAGGAGCTGCAAGAAGCAAGGCCCCGAGCCGGCACCCCCTGGGTCCCCATTCCTCAGGATGACGACTCCGGAGACGCTGGGCGATGTCATTAGGAAGGATCCCCGGCGCATCCGCGGTATGGAGCACAGAGCTCTCGAGGACTGGCGATCCTGGTTGGGGTGGAAGGGATGGTTACCCGGGTCCTCGCCCCTCCGCGGCCTCCGGCGTCTCTCCGGGTGTCTGGCGGCTCGGGCGGCGGCCAGGGTTGCTGTAGCGGCGGCGGCGGCGGCTCAGCTGCAGCTGGAGTTGGGGTCGCGGGCCGCCGGGGACTCCCAGGAGGCAGGAGACGGAGGCAGCGGCGGGCGCAGGGACAGGCGGCGCGCCCGGGCGGTTGGCACACGGAGGGGACGGCACGCTGGGCTGTGGGCCGGCGGGCGCCGCGGGGGACCGCGTGGGCACCCAGATGAGACCGTAGTACACGGCTAGCAGGACGGCGGCCAGCGAGACGCAGAGAAAGTAGGCGCAAACCGGGGCCAGACGCAGCCAGCGTCCCCGCGGGCCCTCACTCAGCCCAGCGCCACCCGGGCTTTCGCCACCACCGCCCACGCAGCTGGTGCCCCGCATCCCCGCAGCCCAGTCGGCCCCGCGCCGCGGCCCGCACAGGCCCCGCCCCCGCCAGGCCCCGCTCCCGCCCCGCAGGACCGCCCCGCGCTCTAAATCGCCCACCTCCGGCCCCACCCCCGCCAGGCATGGTCACGCCCCCGCGTGAGCGGCCGCCTCTGGATCCTTAGACCCACCCCCTCCGGCCCCCTCCTAACCACCGCCTCTCGGAGACGCTAGCCCCGCCCCCTCCTCACTCCAGCCGCGCCCCCGCATTTAGCCCCACCACTTCTATCACCGCCTCCTCCCACTACAACCCGGTCCCCTTCCCGGACCCGGACTTCATCCAGCTCAGGCTTCTAGCCTGCCTCGGAGCCCGCCCCCTCATCCCGCCCAAGCCCGGCCTGGAGCCCTACCCCGCCCTCCGCCGCAGCCAGGCTCAGTTCTCTCTGCCTGTCGGTCCGTCTACTCCAGCGCTCGAGCCCCGCCCGCTCCGCCCTCTGCCTCCCACACTCTAGTCAGGAGTCCCCGCTTTCCTCCTCCGCGGGCTCCCACGCGGCACGCTGCCCGCGCTCCCGCTAGCGGCTCCGCCGCATGCCCGTGGCAGGAGCCCCAGCTCCGCGCGCTGACCCCGCCCCCTGCTCTAACTCCGCCTGCCCGGATTTCGGCCCCGCCCAGGCATCCTAGCCCCGCCCCCACAGGAACCGCCCACCTCCAGCACACAGCCGCCCTTTCGGGTGTCCCCAGCATCACCTCAGGCTCCCAGGTTCCAGCTCCGCCCCTAACGGCAAACGCGCCCCTTCTCCCAGCTCCTCCCCCACCATCAGCTTCTCCCGGTCCCTAGAGCCATGGGGTCCAGGCTAGGCTCTGGGGGAGAACAGAGTCTGGAAATCCAGATAAAACCCCTCCTGACGACCCCTCCCCATCACGGCGGGGAAGCTTCAGTCCCCTCCCAGCAGCGTCTTCAGGAATTCGGGGAGGCCTGCAGGAGGGGGGGAGGGAAGACGGATCAGGGAGGTGGAAGACCCCCTTCCTCCCGCCTCTTCCGCCACGGAAAAGCCCGCCAAGCACAGCGACCCAGCCTGCCCCCTCCAGAAACACAGTTCAAGGGTGAGCGGAAGCACTGCGTTTAATAGGACAGGGCTGGCGCCCGAGTAAGTCAAGCCCTTCGGAAGAGTCACCGGCTATCACAATCCTAGAGGCGGGAGATTCGGCCTAGGGACTGGCCGGCGCCGCCCAGGGCCTCCATGGGAGGCTAATGCGGAGGAGTCCCAGCCGTCCGGGTGCCGCGACATCCCCCGTCTGTGGGGCGGGCACCGATTACTGCCCTGGCCTCGCCCAGCTCGCAGACCCTGGCTCCTCCCCCCTTACATTTAACCCTCTCCCGGCTGGAGTGTGGTAGAAGCAGAGGATAGAGGAGCGAGGCGGTGGGAGGTTAGTGCAGAGCGCAGAGGCTGCGGTCCGGCGGGCGCGGTCAGCGAGCGGCCCCCGGCGGCGGAGGGGCCGCCACCACCTTGCAGAAACGCACCCTCTGGAAGTCTGTGATCTCCGCGGTCTCCTGGCCCTCGGGGCCCGCCTCTGGGGAGAGAAGGGTCTGAGTCAGCGGAGGGGAGCAGTCTTCCCACCTCCCCGCAGGCCAGGACCCCTCCGTCGTCTAGCCACGCCCCTCACCCCATTCTAGCCCGGCCACTGCGGGCCTGGCGATAAGCGGCTTACGGGCCCCGGAATCTTAATCCTGTCAGCGGACCCACGCAGCAGCAAACATCCCCAACAGAACCCTGTTTACAATCGAGGAAACGCGGGTGTGGCGAGATCTGCCTCCCAACACGTGGCCTAAGGCAGACTGGGCCCCCGCGCCACCTGCCGCTGCAAACTGTCCTCCCACCCCCGCCCCATCTCACGGCCCTCACCAACCTCCACCAAAACAGTCCTAGAGGAGCCGCCCTCCGCTCTCCTTCCCCAATGCCTGCAGTCCTTCCTCGGCTCTGCCCCCAAATCCTAACCCCACTCTGAGGGTAGGGGAGGCCATCCGAGATTCGAAATCTTATTCCCACGGGGTGTAGGAGAGGGGCTTGGCCTCTTGCTCGCACTCCGTCGGTCCCAAAATTCTGATCGAGTCTGCATCTCTAATTTGCCCCACTAGGTTGCACCTCAAAAACTGATCCCAGCCACAGTTAAATCCAGTTTTCTGCCCTTGCCCATCTGTTTGGCCTTTTCCAGCCAGTTCAATTTCGAAGTCCGCCTCTAGCTCCTGCCCTAGGACACCAAGCCCCAACCTCCCTCCGTTTATTTTTTGTTTTTTTGAGACGAAGCCTCGCTCGGTCGCCTAGGTGGGAGTGCAGTGGAGCAATCTCGGCTCACTCCAGCCTCCGCCTCACAGGTTCAAACGATCCTCCTGCCTCCCAAGTAGCTGGGATTACAGGCGCGCACCACCACCCCCAGCTAAGTTTATTTTAGTAGAGATGGGGTTTCACTATGTTGGCCGCCCTGATCTCACACTCCTGAACTCAAGTGATCTGCCCACTCTGGCCTCCCCAAGTGCTGGGATTACAGGCGTGAGCCACCGTGCCCCCACGGCATCCCATTACTCTTAAATGGGTGCTTTCCAAAACCCCTGAGCTAGACCCCAAAATTCTAATCCCTTCCTTTTCCACCTCCTCGACCTCCACGCACATACCCAATTCCGATTGGCCTGGCCCATAAAGTCGCCCCTTAGCTCCACCCCCACATCCCGGCTCCAGCCCCGCCATCTCTATCTCAGCTCACCCTTTTCACTTCACCTCTATGGTCCAACTGCTGCCCACACACATTCCACTCCCCCCAAGCCCTCAGCCCCAGAGAAAGAGGAAGCAGCAGCCTCCACCCCCTGCCCCATGCACTCCCCCACCTGGAGTTGCCTCAGACCCCTCCTCTTCAGCCTTCTGGCATCCTGGGAGGCTGGGCCCGCTCTCCAGGGAAGCTCGGGCTGACTGGTCGCCTCCTAGGGAAGGGGAGGCCCAGTCAAGCCCCCTTCCCAACTTGACATCTCCCCACCCCGAGAGAAGGCCCGGGGGAGTTGAGGGGGGTTCAAGGACACACCTGGGGGAATGTCATTTGAGGATGTGAATTCTTTATTGGGAAGGGGGTTCAAGGGGCTGGGGCAGGCTCCTGGAATGGGCATTCCAGAGATGGGCACGACAGTACAGAGGGGCATGGGCTGCCCTCCCCAGCCGACAGGGCTGTGGGGCACACTGGGTCCTGGGGCCCAGCCCGAGGGTCCCCACCAGCCACACCCCTCCAGCGCACTCATTCACACACAGGCAGACAGCTTCATGCATTCCCAAAAGGCCAGGCCTCACCCGGAGAAAGGGCGCCAGCCGGGTGGGCGGTCCGGGGAGAGTTCAGCTCCACCTCTTCACCCCAATCGGACACAGGCTGGTGGCCGCTGGGTGGCGAGAAAGGGCTGGAAGGTGTGGCAGGGTCCTGGGGCTCCAGCAGGGGCTCCTCCGGCCTGAAGGGGGCTCCATGGGCCTGCTCACTGCAGGGGCTCTGGGTGGGGCTGGCTGCCACAGGGGCTTCGTGGTCTTCGGCTGGTTCCTCCTCCTCGTCACCTCCTTCTTCCGCCCCAATCTCCTCCTCGTCCTCACTTATGTCCTCCCATTCTTCATCCTCTTCCCCCTCATTCTCATTCTCTTCCCCCTCGTCTTCGGGAGGCTGGTGAGCAGGTGCTGGGGTCTCGGGTGGCTGTGGGGACACAGGCAGGTCAGGGCAAGGCATGGGCCCTGAGCCCCCATCCCAGGCCCATGCCCTGAAACGCAGCCTGGCCTCACCTGCGTGGGTGTCTCCACAAGGGGAGTGGGCTGTGGAGCCTCAGGGGCTGGAGATGCTGCCCTCTCTTTTGTCTCCCAGCGGTCATCATGGTCACTAAAATGGACAGAGGGTGGGGAGATGCCTGGGTGGAGAGTGGACAGGAGAAAGGGGCTTCCTGACTCCAGCCTCCCTAGGAAGGAGCTACCCGGAGCACATGGTATGCTGGAGCACTGAGGGAATGGTGGATGTGTGTCCCCAGGTGTCAGGGACAGATAGAAGGCGGAGCAGGTGGCAGGAGGGGACATAGGTGAGGCAGAGAAGGGACAGATGAGGATAAAAGCAAGACCCAGCTCCCAAGTCCCTGAAACCAAGTACCTGCGAGATAGACAGGGCCAAGACAAGGGCAGGGACAGACAGATGTGCCCACACCTTCACAGCAAGCCAAAGAAGAGAAAGCCCTGCGGACCGCCCTGGGGCGTGCAAGCTGCAGAAGGGGTGCCCCACCTGTAGGCCCAGGGCGCTGACTTGGCCTGGGGCCGGCTGCTCTTTCTCCTCCTGCGGCTGCTAGCCTCGGCTTTGTGCTGGGACAGGAACTCCCCAAAAGTAGGGGGCTTCGGGGGCCGGGCCCAGGCCTGGTCATCTGCAACAGAACGCCCAGGCATTGTCAGGAAGGGAGGGTCGTGGCACACGCCACCCCAACTCCCAGATCCTGCCTGACCCCAGCCAAGGGCACCCACTCACCATAGCGGTGGGATGGTTCTCGAGCAGGGACCGGGCCGTCCTTGAACCTGGGGAAAGATAACGGGTGAGCAGGCAGGTGGGGGGACAGGGTAGCAAGAGGAGCAAGTTGGCCTAAGAGGTCAAGGTCAGATATCAGATCAGAGACAGATGGTCAACCAGACAGGGCCAGGCATGGCGGCGCACACTGGAATCCCAGCTACTCGGAGGCTGAGGGAGGACTGCTTGAGCCTGGGAGTTCAAGGGCAGTGGGCCACAATCAAGCCACTGCACTCAAGCCTGGGTGACAGGGCGAGACCCTATCTCA